AGGAGGGGTACTGTGGACGCCGCCGAAGTTTCCCGGGGAGTCCTGGGGGCACTTTGGTCTAGGGCCCCTCGTCGCAGGGGCTGGGCGCAGTCCGAAACGTTGGAGCGTTCGGAGTCCCGGGGTCGATTTTGAGACGACTTTGCGTTTCCAGTGTCTCGCCCTTCTCCTCGACAGATTGGGGCCGCCAGATTGGCGCCAGATTGGTTTCGACTTCGCGTCCCAAGATTTCTTCGCACGGCGAAGCGCGCGGCGCGCGATCGGGGCTCAAGCGCCGAGCTCGCGCGCGGCACCCGGGCGCTGATCAGCAGGGGGCCTGGATTATCCTCCTCGCCTCTCTCTTCTCCTCCCTCGCCTCTTCTCCCTCGCCTCTCCTGCCCCTTCCCCTCTCCAGCTCTACTCCCTTCCCCTCTCCACTCGCCTCCCCCTCCGAGGGGGAAGGCGAACCTGTGTGCGTCTGTGTGGGGGGATGCTAATGCAACAGTGTGTGTGTGTGTGTGTGTGTGTGTGTGTGTGTGCGTGTGTGTGTGCGTGTGTGTGTGTGTGTGTGTGGAGGGAGGGAGGAGCACGGCAAGCCGGCCGATGCGAAGAGACGTCGCCGCCGCCGCCCTCGCAGGCGCCCGGCGTCGCCCCGCCGGCGCCGCCGATCATCGGTCACGCGAAGGAGAGTTCGCGTGACCGATACGAAACCCTTTTCTTTCGCATCTTGGAGCTCCAAGAGGAGCCCAAGATGGCCCCGCGAGGGAACCGAGGAAGCCCCACGTGGGCCCACGGAGGCCCAAGAGAGCCCCCAAGGTGGCCCCAACATCGGTCACGCGGAAGAGCTCTCGCGTGACCGATGTTGGGCCCCTCTGTGGGCTCCTCTTGGAGCTCCGAGAGGAGCCAAAAATGGCCCCAGGAGGGCCAGACGAGACCCCAAGAGGACCCAAGCAGGCCCAAGAGGGACCCAAGAGAGCCCCAGCATAGGTCACGCGGAAGAGCCCTCGCGTCACCGATGTTGAGCCCCTCTTTGGGCTCCTCTTCGAGCTCCAAGAGGGGCCCAAGATGGCCCCGCGAGGGCCCCGAGGGAGCCCCACGCAGGGCCCAAGGAGGCCCAAGGAGCCCCAAGGTGGCCCCAACATCGGTCACGCGGAAGAGCTCTCGCGTGACCGATGTTGGGCCCCCTCTTTGGGCTCCTCTTGGAGCTCCGAGAGGAGCCCAAGATGGCCCCGCGAGGGGCCCGTCGAGACCCCAAGAGGGCCCAAGGCGGCCCAATAGGACCCCAAGAGGGCCCCAACATCGGTCACGCGAAAGAGCTCTTACGTGACCGATGTTAGGCCTCTCTGTGGGCTCCTCTTGGAGCTCCGAGAGGAGCACAAGATGGCCCCGCGAGGGCCCCGACGAGCCCCAAGAGAGCCCAAGAAGGCCCAAGAGGGCCCCAAGAGCGCCCCAACATCGGTCACGCGGAAGAGCTCTCGCGTGACCGATGTTGGGCTTCCCTTTCGGCCATCTTGGAGCTTCAAGAAGAGCCCAAGATGGCGGTGTGTGTGTGTGTGCGTGTGTGCGTGTGTGCGTGCGTGCGTGCGTGCGTGCGTGCGTGCGTGCGTGCGTGCGTGCGTGCGTGCGTGCGCGCGTGCGTGCGTGCGTGCGTGCGTGCGTGCGTGCGTGCGTGCGTGCGTGCGTGCGTGCGTGCGTGCGTGTGTGTCTGTGTGTGTGCGTGCGTGCGTGTGTGTCTGTGTCTGCGTGTGCGGTGCCGGCGGGGGAGTGGCAGTCCCGCGTTTTCACGCTTGTCCACCCTCCCCCTCCTTCTCGTCCTCTCCTTCCTCCTCCTCCCTCCTCTGCATCTTCCTCCTCCTCCTCCTTCTCATCCTCCTCCTCCTCCTCCTCCTCCTCCTCCTCTTCCTCTTCCTCCTTCCCCTCTCCAGGGGAATGAAAACCAGAGGATAGCTCACGGAGAGCCCAAGCACCCTCTTGTTGCATCCATCTTGGAGCTCCAGATGGAGCCCAAGAAGGCCCCACGAGGACCCCAACGGCGCCCCAAGAGAGCCCAAGGAGGCCCAAGAGGGTCCCTAGAGAGCCCCAACATCGGTCACGCGAAAGAGCTCTCGCATGCCGCATGACCGATGTTGAGCCGCTCTTTCGGCCATCTTGGGGCTCCAAAAGGAGCCCAAGATGGCCCCACGAGGGCCCCGAGGGGACCCCACGTGGGCCCAAGGAGGCCCAAGAGGGACCCAAGAGGGACCCAAGAGAGCCCCAACATCGGTCACGCGGAAGAGCTCTCGCGTGACCGATGTCGGGCCCTTCTTTGGGCTCCTCTTGGAGCTCCGAGAGGAGCCCAAGATGGCCCCACGAGGGAACCGAGGGAGCCCCACGTGGGCCCAAGGAGGCCCAAGAGAGCCCCAAGAGAGCCCCAACATCGGTCACGCGGAAGAGCTCTCGCGTGACCGATGTTGGGCCCCTCTGTGGGCTCCTCTTGGAGCTCCGAGAGGAGCCAAAGATGGCCCCGCGATGGCCCCGGCGAGACCCCAAGAGGACCCAAGCAGGCCCAAGAGGGACCCAAGAGAGCCCCAGCATAGGTCACGCGGAAGAGCCCTCGCGTGACCGATGTTGAGCCCCTCTTTGGGCTCCTCTTGGAGCTCCAAGAGGGGCCCAAGATGGCCCCACGAGGGCCCCGAGGGAGCCCCACGTGGGCCCAAGGAGGCCCAAGGAACCCCAAGATGGCCCCAACATCGGTCACGCGGAAGAGCTCTCGCGTGACCGATGTTGGGCCCCCTCTTTGGGCTCCTCTTGGTGCTCCGAGAGGAGCCCAATATGGCCCCACGAGGGCCCCGTCGAGACCCCATGAGGGCCCAAGGAGGCCCAATAGGGCCCCAAGAGGGCCCCAACATCGGTCACGCGAAAGAGCTCTCGCGTGACCGATGTTGGGCCCCTCTGTGGGCTCCTCTTGGAGCTCCGAGAGGAGCCCAAGATGGCCCCACGAGGGCCCCGACGAGCCCCAAGAGAGCCCAAGAGGGCCCCAAGAGCGCCCCAACATCTCCTCTCCTTCCTCCTCCTCCCTCCTCTGCATCTTCCTCCTCCTCCTCCTTCTCATCCTCCTCCTCCTCCTCCTCCTCCTCTTCCTCCTCCTCCTCCTCCTCCTCCTTCTCCTCTCCAGGGGAATGAAAACCAGAGGATAGCTCACGGAGAGCCCGAGCACCCTCTTGTTGCATCCATCTTGGCTTCCAGATGGAGCCCAAGAAGGCCCCAAGGAGGCCCCCCAGGAGACCCCGGACGTCCAAGGGCGCCCCCAAGACGCTTCGCGTCACCAACTTCTTCTCGCAACGATTCCTGGGTTTGTGACTCGACAGAACCTAAGCGCGCGCGAAGCGCGCGCGTGGTTCTAGTAACTATTTACTGACATCTATGTGGTGCGAGCTACTCGGTGCAATATCTGTGGCGCATCACGTGGTGTAACACACTGGTTTATGTGTGTGCACCATGATAAGCTCGTATATAGTCATGCACATATGTGTGCATATATACATATATATATATATATATGTATATATATAGGTGGTTTGTGTGTGCTGTCATATATATATATATATAGATTGGTCAATAATGTGTGGTGTGAGCTATGTGGTGCATACAAAGCGTCGTACACACCTGGAATGCAGATCAGCGCAACGCAACGAACGCAATGCACATCCATGAGATCCCATGCAACGACAACGCAACACAATGCAAGGTAACGCAAACAACACAAAGCATTGCAGAGAAATGCGAAGCAATGCGAGGCGGGCGGCGACGGGGCGGCGACGGCGGCGACATGGCGGCCAGAGCGGCGCGCAAGCCCAGACGACGAGCGGTGACTAGACGGAGGCAGGGCGGCAACGGCGGCTACATAGCCGCCAGACCGACGCGCAGGCCCAGTCCTCAGACCAGAAGTAAGAAACCCTGAGTGCACCCACTGTTTTGGGACTGGAAATGCGTACTCATCACGTGTGAGCTGGGAAGAGGGTTGAAAGAACGAGGCTGGAGCGTAGGCGGTAGAGGAGGAAAGGGGAGGAGAGGAGGTTGGACGAGGATGAGGAGGAGGATGAGGAAGAGGAGGAGGAGGAGGAGGAGGGGGAGGAGGAGGGAGGGAGTTGTGAGTATGGAAGGATATGTATATAGGCAGAGGGATTACCAAAGAGTGAGATGCAGGCAGAGTTTGGGAGGGAGGGGATTGCTACTGGTCTTGATCCTGCTCCTTTTTCTGCTGTTGTCCCTGCCCCTGCTTCTACTTCTCGTGCTACTGCTGGTCCCTTGGGGCTGCAGCCGCGCAGAATGTCGCAGATAATCGCAGGAATCAGAGGAAGTGGGAGCAGCAGCATGAGGAGCGGGGCTGCTGCTGCGGCTGCCCCCTCCGCGCGTTTCGCGCCCTTTCTCTCCTTCTTCCCCCCTCCCCGGGCGCGTGAAGTCATTTGCGCCGCGCGGCCCTCCCGAGGCCTGGGTCAGGTGCGCGTCGCCCGCAGAAGCATTGAGGCTTTTACGTGTTCTGGCGGTACCTTTCCTCACACGCCTCGTCTTGGTGGACATCCGGTACAATTATCAGCGGGTGCCAGGGCGCAGTATCAGGAGGAGCAGCAGCAGCAGCAGCAGCATCAGCAGGATTTGGAGGACGACAATGAGGAGTAGCAACACCAGTCGAGCAGCATGACGGTGAGCAAACGGAGCAGGAGGGCGAGGAGGGCGGGAGGTACAGGGCGAGAACGGCGACGAGGTACAGGTACAGGTACGGAGCGGGAGGGCGAGAAGGGACGACGAGGGAGGCGAGGACGACAGGTCCGAGAACGAAGGATGAGAAGGAGGAATGGCCAGGAACAGGACGACGACGACGGCGACGACGGCGGCGGCGGGCAACGACGACGACGACTACCGACGAAGACGACAACGACGACGGCGGAGGCGACGTCAATACACGATGATGATTGGCGACGGCCGGGGACGATGGGCGACGATCGGCGGCGGTCGACGCCGGCGACGCAGCGGCAGAGCCCGAGGAGAGCGGTGCGGTGGGCCTGAAGGCGCCACGCACCGCACGGCGCGCGGGTCGTGGGAGCTCGGGCAGCATGGGGGCGAATGTGAGCCGCGCGCGGCCCGAATTCAGCGGCGAGGCCAGGGAGGCCAGCGGGTGGGGGGGAGGGCAAGAAGGGGGGCGGCGGGGAGGGCAGGGGAGGCGAGGGAGTAGGGATGAGGACGTGGAGGCCAGGGGAGCCAGGGGGGTCCTCTCTCTCTGCTCCCCTCTCTCTCCTCGTCCCTGTCCTCCTTCCCCTCATCCTCACCAGCAGTCACCCCCTGTCTCGTCCTCCTGTCCGCCTCCGCCTCTGCCTCCTCATTCTACTACTTACGTACGCTTTCTCCTTTCCGCCATCCTCTGCCCCAGGTCAATGGGGACGCCACGGAGGCCCGAAGTCCAGAGAGGATGAGAATGAGGAGGAGAAGGAGGAGGAGGATGAGGACAAGGATGATGATGATGATGATGATGATGATGATGATGATGATGATGATGATGATGATGATGATGATGATGATGATGATGATGATGATGGGGATGCTGATGCTGTTGCTGCTGCTGCTGCTGCTGCTGATGATGATGATGAGGAGGAGGAGGATGAGGAGGAGGAGGAGGAGGAGGAGGAGAAGGAGGAGGAGGAGGAGGAGGATTAGATGGAGGAGGGGAATAGTGAGGGGGATGGAGTGAGTAAGGGGTGGCCAGGAAGGGTACATGGTCCAGCTCGCCTTTCTCCTGCTGCCGTTCCTCTGCGTCCTCATCATTCCCTCCGCCCCCCCTTCCGCCACAAGTCAGTTTAGTGGCGAGGCCAGCGCGAGGCCAAGGATAAGCCTCAGGAGGACGTATGAAGATCGGAAGCAGGAGGACGATGATGAGGAGGAAACCAGCAGCCTCATCACCCTTTTTGCTCCGCTTCCTCCTTCTCCCAAGCTTCCTCTGCATCATCTCCTCCCACGCTCCCCGCCTCCCAATCCCCTCCCCCCGTTTCCCCTTACAGATCTCGTTTCCTCCTTTCTTATGATAACTCATCGTTACGTTTCTCTCTTTCCCTCCCTTCCACCATTCTGTCCTCCTCGCCCTTCGTCCCTCTCTCTCTCTCTCGCTCTCCCTGTTTGTGTTGTGATGTGTTGTTGTTCCTCTCTCTCTCTCTTGCTTTCTCTCCGTTTTTTTGTTTTCTCTCTCTCTCTCTCTTTCTCCTTCTCCCCTTCCCTCTACTGTCACTTACACGCATTGGGCACATGCTTTTTTCAAAGTGCGGTTCTCGCAACAGCGCCACGTATATTCGTACGAAACGTTGGTGAGCGCAGGGTTCCAAATCGAGTTTTCGTCTGAGAGCTCTTTGTTTTGAGCCAACCAGATCCAGACAGCTGTGCAACAATATCGCCGGTGTGTGGGTGGGGGAGACAGCGGCGGGCCCTTGTCCAGATAGGGTTGCCGGTGTGTGGGGGGGGGGGAAGTCCTCCGGCTTTCCTTTCCGAAGGGTTCGTTCGCGGAGCCTTCCCCTCACGTTGCCACATCTGCGACGGAGCACAACGGGGCTGATTGCACCGACGTCTGCGAGCAAGCTCTCCGTGCGAGGCCCTGCGCGCGCGCACCCTTCTGCCCGCGCGGCGTGCCGCACTGGCTGCCCGTGGGGGCCGCGGCGTAGAAGGCCGCTGTGTCTTCTCGGGTCGTAAGACCCGGTCATTCTCGCCGTTACAGTGGGGGCCCATGCAAAGAAGAAGCACCTTGCTTGCCTCCAGGGTGCATTGGGTTCCTTGGGCTCCGATGGTTTTGCGATGGGGAGCGTGACGCTCCCACACCAAAAAAAGTCCATGGACCTCCTGGTGTCTCAGGGGTGGGCTTTCTTGTGGAAGGTTTCTTGTGGTCGGCCCCCTACTGCATGCGCTCGCAGGAGGAAGGGACGACGGACGCTCATGTGCTCGTGAGAGGAAGTGTGGGCCCCAAGAATGTGCACCACCACCGCGCCGATTTCCCCATCCTCCTCTACCCTCTTCTTCCTCTCCTCCTTCCTGTGAGAGAGGGGGTGAGGGAGGTGGAGGTGGTGCACATGCCCAGGGCCCCGTGGGGAAGGGACGGACGCGCGCCCCACAGACTGTTTCTTCGCCAATGTGTCCTCCGCGCCCGTGCCGGCGGCGCGGCGCGGAGACAAGCAACACAAAAAACCGATGCGCGCGCGCCGCAGGTGCGCCCGCAGGGGCGCGCCAATGCGGCCGCCGCGGGCCCTCGGGGGGACGGAGGGGCGAGGAGGAGCGGTGGGGGAGGAACGGCGGGAGAGCTCGGGCGGGGGGGGGAGGGGGGGAAGCAGAGGGGGGGGGTCAAGGGAGGAAAAACCACCCAGAACGGGCAATTGGCGTTTACCAAACGGCCCTGGGCGTACTAAACAGCCCTGCCCTGTTCGATTCCTTCCTTAGGTGCGTTTACTAAAAAGCTTCCCCTGCCGGGGTGCTCATTATGAGGGTGGATGTTCTGCTCTATAGGGGGGGGCGGAGGTTGGGAAGGAGAGGGGGGGGAGTTGTCGAAGAAGAAGAAGAAGAATCATAACAAAACCATCAACGTAAACTTCTGGCGCTTCACGCGGATTTCTTGGATCCGCGCTGGGACCCCCTGGCGGCGCCTCCGGCGCCATCCCTAGCGCGCTTCGCGCGGCAGGGGGGGGGGTTGCAGCGCGGATTCAAGAAGTCCGCGCGGAGCGCCACAAATTTATGTTTATGCAGTTGTTTCTTCTTCTAGGGAAGAAGGGGAGGGGAGTTGGGAGGGGGGGGAAGGAGGAAGAGGAGGAGGCGCAGGGCTAATCAGGAGGAGGGGGGAGGAGGAGGAGGAGGGAAGGAAGGAAGAAAGCTCCTACTCCCCCACCCCTCCTGGCGACGACGGCAGCGCCGATGGCGACGACTCCAACGAGGACGACGACGGCTTCCACGACGACGCGGAGGACGTTGTCGTTGGCGGCCGCGGCGGACGGACCGGCGGACGGACGCCGAGAACGTCCCGTGGGACGGCCCTCGAAGGGCTCGGCAGGGGCGCTGGAGCGCCAAGCACTCAGCACTTGTTCTTCAGCATGACATTCTGGGGCGTCGTTGCCACACGAGGTAGTACTAGCACGTCAACCGAAGGCTTCTGATGATATATTGGATTCGTTCGGCACCTCCAGGTCGTGACGGAGAATTTGCATGAATCATTATCAATTTCGTGTCTGATTAGCTCTATGAGCAGCCAGTTCCGTTTTGAAATATTGTGCACGTTCTTTTCCACATGGTGTACACGCTCTGTTCCACGTAGGGACGGCCGCGGCGACGACGGCGAAGACGACAATTACCCTGGCGACGTACCCAACCCTTGCGCGCAATGCGGGGCACAAGTGCATCAGGATTGCTACAACGGGGCGACGACGAAACATGGACGCATGTGATTTTGCGAGCAGCAATCGGAAGGCTCGCGGGCCCCCGATCAAGATCTAAGGGCTACGCAATAACAAAATCACCCCCGTTGGCTGGGCCATGCGCCCGTTGTACCCAACGTATCCCGCAGCAGCTCTTGAGAGCCCCCGCGGGATACGTGTAGGCGCAACGCTATGGCCATCGCCCAGCAGATGGTCTGTTTCACAAATCACCCCCGTTGGCTGTGCCATGCGCCCGTTGCGCTTAACGTATCCCACAGCAGCTTTCCAGAGCCCCCCAGGGACGGCGAGGTCTCGCTCAGGTCCCCGCGGTGCCCCATTCCGCTGGACCCACCAGCAGCCCTCGAAAGTGGCGGCAGATCGCAGCCCCCCCAGGGAGCAGCAGCCGTCGAAAGTGGCGACAGCATCGCAGACCGCAGGCCCCCAGGCACGGCGAGGTCTCGCTCAGGCCCCCGCGGTGCTTCGCCCCGCTGGACCCACGAGCAGCCCTTGAAAGTGGCGACAGTGTCGCAGATCGCAGCCCCCCGCAGCCCCGTCGCAGACAGCGACGTGTCGCTCAGGTCCCCGCGGTGCCTCACTCTGCTGGACCCACCAGCAGCCTTCGAAAGTGGGGACACTGTCGTAGATCGCAGCCCCCCAGGCACGGCGAGGTGTCGCTCAGGTCCCCGCGGTGCCTCGCTCCGCTGGACCCCACAGCAGCCCTCGAAAGTGACGACAGTGTCGCAGATCACAGCCCCCCAGGGACGGCGAGGTCTCGCTCAGGTCCCCGCAGTACCTCACTCCGCAGGACCCACCAGCAGCCCTCGAAAGTGGCGACAGCGTCGCAGATCGCAGCCCCCCAGGGACGGCGAGGTCTCGCTCAGGTCTCCGCGGTGCTTCACTCCGCAGGACCCACCAGCAGCCCTCGAAAGTGGCGGCAGTGTCGTAGATCGCAGCCCCCCCCTCCCCAGGGACGGCGAGGTCTCGCTCAGGTCCCCGCGGTGCCTCAGTCCGCTGGACCCAACAGCAGCCCTCGAACGTGGCGACAGTGTCGCAGATCGCAGCCCTCCCAGGGACGGCGAGGTCTCGCGCGGGTCCCCGCGGTGCTTCACTCCGCAGGACCCCACAGCAGCCCTCGAACGTGGCGACATTGTCGCAGATCGCAGCCCCCCTGGGACGGCGAGGTTGCGCTCAGGTCCCCGCGGTACCTCACTCCACAGCACCCACCAGCAGCCTTCGAAAGTGGGGACACTGTCGTAGATCGCAGCCCCCCAGGCACGGCGAGGTGTCGCTCAGGTCCCCGCGGTGCCTCGCTCCGCTGGACTCAACTGCAGCCCTCGAAAGTGGCGACAGTGTCGCAGATCGCAGCCCCCCAGGGACGGCGAGGTCTCGCTCAGGTCCCCGCGATGCCTCACTCCGCAGGACCCCACAGCAGCCTTCGGACGTGGCGACAGTGTCGTAGATCGCAGCCCCCCCAGGGATGGCGAGGTCTCGCGCAGGTCCCCGCGGTGCCTCAGTCCGGTGGACCCAACAGCAGCCCTCGAAAGTGGCGACAGTGTCGCAGATCGCAGCCCCCCAGGGACGGCGAGGTCTCGCTCAGGTCTCCGCGGTGCTTCACTCCGCTGGACCCAACAG